TAATTATTATTATTAAATCTTACTGCCATACTGATAGAAATGCATTCCACATTGCCAGTGGAAAAGGCACATCTAGAAAAAAATAGGTGCTGTCCACAATGACTCCCTTAATTTTTCCATTTATAGTAGTAATTTGTAATAACAAACCAACCTTTAGTGTTGGTAGTAGACTCAAAGCTAATAGTAAAGCAATTAGAATAAATAGAACAGTTCAAACTGGGACTTTCAGGAGGTATGATTATTACATTTCATGTTAGCAAACAGTGTAATATACAGCACAGATAATTCTTATTTTTAATATTTGGGAAATAGCTTTGAATGTCTTAGGCTGAACAAATGCCAAATGTTCCACTTTTTATTTTTATTTTTGGGGAAAAGGGATTAAGAGACATTGAAGAAAAGAACCTGTATTTATATAAATAAGAGCTGTAAGTCAACGTAGTGTTACTTAAAGCAGATTTATGTGTCTGTAAATGCAAGTTAGCAAACCTTATCTGAAGCTTTTAGTAAGCTTTCTGTTTAGTCAATGTCTCTGTGAAAATCCTTGTGTGGTAAAACTGTAAATTCACAGCATGAATCTTCAAGTGTATGTTTTTTTTCACTTATGTTAGCTTCAAGGGGAGAGACTGCACAAGCACAGTAGTTCATAGTGTGGTACTTAATATGTACTTTTCTTTGCAACATGAGTAGAAACCAAAATATTGGGCTGAATTTTTCAAAACTGGGAATAAATTGGAGGGACCTCCATTCCAGGGAAGCGTTAAACTTCTGCACTGTTGAAAGTTGGGTTCTCTTGGCTTCAAGTTGTATGCTTTCCTATGTGAAATATCAGAGTAAATCTACTTTTAAAGAGCAGCTGATAACTTGAACACTATTATTTCATGTGAAATGAAACTGCTTGCATCTAGTTATAAATTTAAGTGTTTGACACTCATGTGACTAGTTAAGACATTGGAACTTAATTGATAGTGAACTTTGAAGTTACTCAAAGCAAGCAAGAAAAGCCTTCTCTGTACAGTTCCTCAATTTCATGTACAATATCAAGCAAAATAGCTTTACGTAGAGAAGGGCATTTCTGCTGTTCATCACAGAAGAGCACTGTCTTTTGTGCTCAGAGCAAAACTTTTTATAGATAATGTCACAGAAAATATACTTTTTCTATTTACACATCTAACTATTGCCACTGAGATAAATATCTTTAATGACTGTACGTCCATTGTTAAACTTTAATTTTCTCTTAAGTGCCATGATATTAAGTTATTTTTCATTGTGGAGTGTGATAGCAAGTTTCCTAAGTATTCAGAAGGGATATGGCATGTAAACAGTTGAGTAGGCTTTGAATTTTGAAGAAAGTGTCTGCATCAGAAGTGTGATGTATTTATGTGGAGCTGATCCTTTTGTATGCGAGTTAGGTTCTTATGGGTGCTCTGCTCGTCCATATTGTCTCTACTACTTTCTTGTTTCGTATGGAATATAGTCTTGAATGTTGTTGTGTAATCATTCTCTTTACTTGTGCACAATTTTTACTTTAAATAAAACATTTATTTAGGACGCTGTGTATTGATCTCAAAAAAACTACTACTACAAAACACTGGGATTTGTTTGATATCTTCAGATGACCCTTAAGCATCCAGGGAGGGAGTACAACAACCACCTTCACAAAAAAAAAATGTAAAATGCAATTCCAGCATGTTTAACTGAGGATATCTTTCAGTTGGAGCTCCTGTGTTATCACTGCAGCTGCTGGGAATTTGCAGTTTAAAGCAGTTCTCTTCATCCGTTGCTTTTACTTCGCACAGTTTCTTTTTTTCTTTCATGACTCCCCCTGTCATACTCTCAAGTCTCCAACTGAGGGAATGGCACTTACCTCATATCCTATTACAGATGCACTATTTTAATATATCTATATTTTAAGATCTTTGTATCCCTATTTTAAAAGACATTTCCTCTTGCAGTCTGGCTTGTTATTAACAGTATATATCAGCAGTCCTAGACAAGTGCTACAGATGGTTGCATATCTTAAATGCTTGACCTCCCCCCACGCACGCTTCTTGTTTCTGTTCAATTTGGTGGCCAACTGCTCTCTGCTCAGTCTGAGCAATTGTTTATGTTAAAGATGTTCTATAAAAGAAATTAGGAGCTTGCACCATCTATATGTCCTTGAAAAATGCTAAACATACATCCTGACTTCATGAGTGATATAGTAAGCAGTTTAAGCAAGAAATGTATCTGAAATTATCACGGTGTTTTCCTGAAAAGAGGGATTTGAGGGTTGAAGGCTCTTTCAAAAGAAGGGAATTTTACCACATCTTGTATTTTCTTGAAGAGTTCAGTTAGTGTGTTTCGGTGTTCTTTGTTCTTTTCTGCTTGTGATGCAGTTGTTTAAAGGATTTATCTGTGCTTAGAAATACAGGTTAATATGTCTCACTTGCTCTTCTTCCTAGTGTGTGAGTGGAAGAGGTATCAAGCCCAGAGACAGCCAAGAGTGGCCTGCACAACCTAAAGGTATATGTGCGAGGAGAAAGGCTTAGTTTTTGGGAGGTTTTCTTTCTTTTTTTTTTTTGAAACATAGCAAAGGTGCTGTTTGTGAATTACATTTTAAGGCAGCCTAATTATTAATATTGTAAGTTTCCAGTAATTTGACAATTCAGAACAGAAATAAAAGCAGGATCCCTCCTATGCTATGTTGCTGCAATTTGTTATACAAGGGTCTATAACCTAGGTTTCAGCTACGCAGTATCTTTTGGAACTGCTTTGCCTGGTCTGCCATAAAAGTTGTAGGTGGAGTTAACATCTTTTGGACAACTTCTACCCTACAAACTTTGGCTTATAGTGCCTAATTATTGTAGCTCTATGGCAGTGTTATTATTACAGCACAGTGGTTACCACAGTGGTTTGCAACTTGAAATGGAAAATATGCAGAACTTCTTAAAACTCAAATTAAATGATGATACTGAATTTCTAAGCTTCCATGACATCAGCAGGACTAATAAAAGATGTAATATCCACCTACATATATATGTTGCTGCCTTTACATCCATAGTTCATTCTAGCTATGATGTTATAAGTCTTGCATGTTCTTGAGTAAATTTGAAATGGAAACATGATATAGCATATCTCAGTGGTTGGCATTTGCAGATAACTTCTATGATCAGATCCTAAATTCTAGAGGCTAGAGAAGACAGGAATGTCCAGAATGTCTGAACAATTGCAGCTGGTCCATAAAGCTGGTAGATTTTCTTACTATTTGTGCTATATTGTTGTATCCTTTAAGCTTGTATATGCTTCATGAGTAAGTATAGGGGGTAGGAGGAAATGTTCTTCACAAACGTGCTTATCTTTCCAGTTATTGACCCACCCTCAAACATCTTATTGCAGAAGAAAAAAGAATTAAACAGAGCTTAAAGATAATTGAAACCAAACCAAGGTGATATGACCAGTATTTATTAATTACTGTTTGCTGCTAAATTAGTTCAAGTGCAGTAAGCTGCACTTGAGATGAGCCAGGAGTTGGTTTATGGTCCAGTGTTGTGAAATTTCCTTAGAAGCACAAACCTTACTTGCATTAAATCTCAAATGGCTGAAAAGTGCAGAGGCATCAGTCCTGATGGTCTCCCAGTTCACCTAACTCACATAATGCACAGAGGCTGGTGGTTTGAGATGTAAAGGGTTCAGCTGTGGTTCTGCTGCTACAAATGAGTTATGCAGACAGAGTCTGGCAAAAGGATCTAGAAAGCAGTAGGGGAAATGTAAGTAAGGAAAAATGCACTTCCCATAATGGTAATAGCTATTATGATAAATGCTCCCTGAGGAAAGGCTGAGTCAATCTTTAGTGATTTACAATAAAAATAGAGAAACAAAATGAGGATGGAAGAGGCCAAATAGTGGGATATTAAAGGGAAGAGAATTAATTTCTCCAATAATTTTATTCTTCCCTGTGATTAAATGTTGGTTTCAGTTTTTGGGAAGCATTTATCTTTTCTTTGGCCTACATGGAGTGGAATGAATTTATGCCTTCCCTTCCTTTTCTATTTTCTCTATCTGTGAAAAGAAAAGTTGTGCTTTTCTATAGGTGTTAAAGGAGATATTTCATATAAGCATGCCAGGAAGCACGCTTAATTCCAGGTGATGTGGAGGTTTACATCCTGCGACAAAGTTAAGGTGTCTGTTCAGTCCCCCTTTGTTTTGTGGAAAAGCCTGAGGGTCCTGCAACATGGCAGCAGTAAAACCACGATCCCGTTATAATGGCGCTTTGCACTGAATATAAAAATTGAGGTCATGCTCTATTTCAGATGTACAGTTCCTTCATCTCTACCCAAGTTCTTTAATAACAGAAAGGTCGAATGCTTTTCTCTAAGCCCTAAAAAATAAATATAACTGTTACTGTCTCGCAGCATTATGGTTAAAAGCCTGGGCACAGCTGTTTATACAGTTATTCTAAACCCAACTGTCCTCTTTCTCCTGTCAGCAGTTCTTTATTTTCGCCATACAAAGCAGCTGAGGTAACAGCCGCAGGTAGGCTCTAACTTCGAAGGTGAACATCAAAGGCAAAACCTGCAAACAAAACGTCTCAGGCCGAGGCAGCGCTTTGTGCGTCTGGCCAGCAGCACTGCGCGTAGTTTGTAACACGAGAAAAGAGCGCTGCGGTTCGTTCCGTACGGGGTGCCGCGGCGCGGTGTCCGCTCGCAGCGCGGTGCCTCCCGGCGGAGCGCGGCTGCGGGCCTCGGGGGCGGCGTGGGCTGAGGGGAAGCGGCGGCGCCGAACGCGGGGCCCGATCGGCCCTTTAAGTAGCTCCGCGTTTATCTGTTGCGTTTTGTCGCATTTTATCGTGCTTTCTTCCATCTCGTCGCGATTTCCTGCGCGTTAGCGCGCTTTGCTGCGCCGCGCGTGCGAGGCGCTCCCTCCCGGGCGGCGGGGGAAGGGCGGCCGCTCCCGCCGCTGCCCCAGACGGTGGGCGGAGCTGCGGCGGCGGCGGCGGCTGAGGGCGGCGGGGGGTGCGCGCCGCCGGCGGGTTCGTGCCCGCGCGCCGCCGTCTCCGCCGTCGTCTCCGTCTCCGCCGCCGCCGTCTCCGCAGTGAGGTCACGGTGGGCGGTGCGTGCGCGGCGCCCGTTCCGATCCCGGGGCGCCGGAGCCCCCGCGGCGCCGAGAGAGGAGAGCCGGGGGTGAGCGAGAGGGCGAGGGAGGGGGCAGGCGGCGCCCGAGGGAGGGGATGGCGGCGGCCGGGGGAGGGGCGCGCCGTGCCCGGGGGGAGGGAGCGGCGGCGCGGCGCGGCGCGGCGGGCGAGGGAGCGAGGGAGCCGGGCGGGGGGAGGGGGGACGGGGGGAGCGCTGCCCGCAGCCGCCCGGCTCCGAGGTGAGTCACGGAGCGGCGTCCCGCGCCCTTCCGGGAAGGGCTTTGGGGGGGCGGCGCGGGCGGGGCTCCTCGCGGCGCTCCCGGCGGGCATTCCCCGCTGCCGGGGCTCGCCGTGACCCCGTGCGCTGTTCGCAGGCTCTGCGCGGATTGACGGCGCGACGCAGCGGGGGGAATCCGGCCCTCGGCCTCGGTCCTACCGCCCGTGAGTCGGGGTGGGAGAACTGTGACACGCGGCGCTGACATCTGTGCCAAAGGTGACTGCCGGCGCTCCGCTCGGGTTTGTCTGCGAGCTGCCGGCGCTCCGCGGGCGGCGGCGGCGACGTCGCGAAGTTGGCAGCACAATAAAGCAGGCCCCAGAGATTCGGGCTCCATCCCCAGGAACTGAAAGTGCCGAGCGGAATTTCCGCGTGGCTCCAGGTACGTTTGGGATCGGACGGAGCTGCGGGCGCTTCTGTATTTTGATATCGAAGTACAGACCGACTTCTACGGCCGTCTGTTTTTGGAAGAAAAAAGTGGCCGCGAATGGACGCTGCTCTGCACCTCGTCTGTTCCTGAAGCGCTGCTGTGCGACGGCGGGCAGCACACGAAGGGAATCCGTGTGTACAAATCACGGTGGCTCTGTATAAGGGGCAGTTGAACAAATGGTTCTAGAACTAGAAGGGAAAAACTGTTTGACCTCTGCAGACTTGATTTCTTTAGTGTTGTACTCAAAATGAGTTGCAGGTTTTGCTGTTGGAGGCCGAAGGATTAAGTGGAGTGCGGAGCAGGGTGTGCCTGCGGTAGTCGAGATCGCTTCAAATCGTTTTTTGTCGAAGCCAGCAGGAAAATGTGCACTCGAGACTGTAATTAACTCAAGTTCTGGTGTTCAGCGATGGAAAGCCCGCAAACAAATTTCCCTCTAGGGCTTGTTTCAGAGCAAAAGAGGAGTGGGATCCAGGAGGATGGGAGCCCCCCACTGAAAAAACTAATGACAGAAATGCACGTCAATAGCCAAGTACGAGTTGTGATAAATAAACTGCCAACAATCAAGAAGGAAAACTTGGACGAATATGACGAAACTTCTGTGGAGGCTGACGGGGAGAGTGCCAAGCCAAACAGTTCTTCAATCTCTGAGCCTTTGAATTTAAATCCAGGTCTGAAACACACGTTGGCACAATTCCACTTGAGCAGCCAGAGCTCGCTGGGTGGACCGGCAGCTTTCTCAGCTCGCTATTCCCAGGAAAGCATGTCACCCACCGTCTTCTTGCCTCTTCCATCACCACAGATCCTGTCTGCTCCGCTGCTCATTCCTCCCGACAGCTCCACAGAGCTCACTCAGACTGTACTGGAGGGGGAATCCATCTCTTGCTTTAAAGTTGGAGGAGAAAAAAGACTCTGCCTGCCTCAGGTGTTGAATTCAGTTCTTCGAGACTTTTCTTTGCAACAGATTAATACAGTGTGTGATGAACTGTACATATACTGTTCCAGGTGCACTTCTGACCAACTTCATATTCTGAAGGTCTTGGGAATTCTTCCATTTAATGCTCCGTCCTGCGGGCTTATTACACTGACTGATGCTCAGAGACTATGCAATGCTTTACTACGTCCTCGCACTTTTCCTCAAAATGGCAGCTTTCTCCCTGGTAAGAACACATTGGCCCAACTGAAGGAGACTGGCAGTGCCTTTGAAGTAGAGCACGAATGCCTGGGCAAGTGCCAGGGTTTGTTTGCACCTCAGTTCTACCTTGCACCGGACGACCCCTGTATCCAGTGTCTGGAGTGCTATGGGATGTTCTCACCCCAGACCTTCGTGATGCATTCGCATCGATCCCCCGACAAGAGGACCTGCCACTGGGGCTTTGAGTCAGCCAAGTGGCACTGCTACCTTCATATTAACCAAAAATACCTGGGAACGTCGGAGGAGCGGGAGCTGAAGCATCTCTTGGAGGAGATGAAGGAGAAATTTAGTGAGAAAAATCAGAAAAGAACTCGATCAAAAGTAAGTTCGCCTCCTCTTGTAGAACTCCTAAATCTCTCTGCACGTAAATGGTCCTTCTGGAAGCACAGTCCTTGCCTCTTGTAAATGGGAATGCTTGTCTAGTCAAGCCTAAATGAATATCGTGAGGGAGCTTCACCATGGAAGTACATTTTTGATGAAAAGGCATGGTGATTTCTTTCCTCTTTGGGCTCTAAGTAACTTCATTCAAGATGGTTTGGTTTTGTTGGTTCTTGTTCTGTTTTAAAGTAAGCAGTCTCTGGAAAGTTCAGAATTAATTTGGAGATCTTTTGATGTGTTTTATGCGGTACGTGCTGCAGCAGCTGAACAATGCAGAAAGGAGCTTGAAAATCAAGTGTTACCAATTGGTTTTTGATTTGTTGCATTCACGCCTGCACACACACACGTGGTGCATGGCTGCCTGGCCTGCCAACCACCCATCTCATGGCTTTGCACGTGGGTAAGGGCGCATCGATGAGCTCCTGTTAGAAGCCCAAAGCCTGCTTGTTCAGCAGTAGCTTTCTGTTTAAACGAATTATATGGAGAAATATGCCAAAAGAGAGGAGTTCTGAAGCAGTCCAAGTAAAGAGCTGTAGGATGGTATCTTGACAATGGTTAATAATAGACATAGTATTTTTTCCTAAAATACTGCTGCAAGTCTGCAGAGCAGTTCAAAAATACAGAGCTTATTTTTCCTTCAGAGGGCTTCTAATTTAAATAATAAACACCAGATAAATGCTGGATGTTGCTGGGGAAATAATCACGTTGTGTGCAAGAAATAGGCTTTTTAAGAGGAGAGCTGGTAGGGAATGTAGAGAGCAGCTAGCTCATTAAATGAGGGAACGCATAGGTGATGACAACATGGATGTTTGCATTTAAAGAATATGCAGTTTTATTGAGTATAATCTAAACTTAAAACTTGTTGGTTCACCTGTTGGATGTTTAGTCTTGGATTTCAAAGCAGTCCATGCAGGTGAGCCCAGAAGGGTGTGCAGTGAGATGACACCTTCCAGCACAGCTCTGAACATTTAGTGTTACAGGAAGGCTTATTGCAGTAACAGCTATTGCTACAGTTGTGCCAGTCTGCTGTAAGGGATTTTATCAGAAAATTTCCACAGAAGTCTGCTGTATGGCATTCTTGCACATGCTGAATCAGCTGGAGGGGCAGGTAAGCTCACAGCAAGGAGTCTTCATTGTCATGATGGTCTTTATCCTTGCAGTGTCAGTACAGGTAATGAACTGTGGCATGGGTGGAAGTGTGTTCTAGGTGTGACTACAGGAGGCTGCTTCCTGTTTTGTGTTAGCAGACTTCTGACCACGATTTCAGTTTCCTGTAGACAGATGAAAAAACAGCTGAAGTTCACAGCAGCAGTCATTTGGACTGGACTGGTACAGACGAAATACAAAAAATCTTTCTGGATTCTTCCATTACAGACCTGTGCAGTTGTTGTTGTTATTATTAAGTAGCATATGAAATTAGTATGAAAGAAAAACTGAAAACTTGAGCAAAGATAAAATGGTGGGGAAGGGTTTGGTACGAACTCACTGTTTTGGAGCTTAGCTTCCTTGTTTCCTTTCTGTTCCTTTTGGAGCTGATTTGAGGAACTGCATGGGTGGAGTTACATTGCAGTTGCAGTGCTAGACTTTGAATTTAGCAGGCTTGACGTTTGGACCAGAATAATGTAGATAGGATTGACTCTTCTTTGTGGTCAAGTGACATCTGATACTGGCCATGCTGCTGTGACTGCAGACTCTTGACTGTCAGAAGTGAGGTTCTATGACAATCTGTTTCTGGGTGTGTGAATATGGATTTTTTGTGGCTGCTGACTGGGGTCAGCTAATCACACTGGGGTTCATATACATTCCCCCCCACTTACATTCACATTTCTAGGGGTTTCAGTGGGTGTAGACATCTCCCCATTTCCAAGACTATTTTAATGTGATGGAATTAGGAATCAGTTTTTCAGCTAGGAGTCTTTTAGATGGGACCTAAAGACACCTTTCACTTGAAAATAACAGTAACTTTGTAGCAGAGCAGTAAGTATCAGCAGTAACTTTGACTAAAGTTTAATTTTGGAAATGATTTTTGAGACAAACAGAAGGAGGATTGCTATCCAAATACTGCATGCACAGTAGAAGTGCTTAAAGATGATGTGTTCTGATGCACCTGAGGTACTTCTGTTCCTTACTGCAAAGGGTTGTTACTTACTGCAGTGACCTTGCCCAGCTGTGTTTCTGTAACACCAGTAATTGTTGCTTTTTACTCACAGATTTCATTTTGTAGTGAAGTATCTGGCAGGTGCATACTTTGATGTGTAGATGCTTAATTACCAAAGGGTGATACAACCTTTTTGGAATCCTGTTTCTGCTTTCTGTTTCTGCCAGTCTCTGTTGGCCTCTGGCAGAGTCCTGGGAGCTCAGCACAGCTTTTACATAGGTTTATGAAGAGCTTTTCTTTCAGTTTCGTTGCTGCTTTACTCATAATGGGAAATTGGTGATTGAAGAAACTTCTGTCACTTGCATCAGCATGCGCTTCTGCCAAAGTCTGTGCCTTTTCCAGTACCCCAGTTTGTCTCTGTGTGTATGCATTAATGGTGGAAGTGCCATTCCACTGAGAACAGTTTGTTAAAATGTCATCAGCGTGAACCTGTCTTCAAATTACTGTTTGGTTTTTGTTTTTCTTGAGGTGGATTCTCAGCAGAGCCTGGAATTATCACAGTGGTATCCTGTGATAAAGCAGGAAGCAGAACCTGATCCTCAGCCACCCTCCTTCTTCCATCCCAGGTAACTGAATTTCCTTTGCAGCACGATGAGCATTGCATACATAAATTCAGTACATAAATTTCAGCTAAAAAAAAAAAGCATTTGCAACCTGAGCTGTTACAAAAAATAATTGCACCCTAACTTGTAATTCATTTCTTAGTGTAAATATTAATGAACTGTTTATGGGCCATTTTTGGTGTGAGACTCAAGCTGTGATGTATGGGTGTTCTTCAGGAGGAAATACAATTGAAATGTAATTACAATTTTCGTTCTCAGGCTAGAAATGACAGAAGTTAATTTTCCTATTATAACATAATGCACATATGTGAAAAGCTGCATAGGGCCTATTTACCACGAGTGCAACTTCATTTCCTTTCAAAAAGGACTTGCGAAAACTGAAGACTTTATTCCATGCTGGAATGACTGCAGCTGACTTGTTGGTTAATTTCCAGGTTTCAGAAATCGAGTGCATTTCCTTAATGCAGTACACACTCTGCATTCTGCATCAGTGTTGGTCAGTATATGAGGAAAAGAAGGTCCAGTATTGGCCCCAAGTCTGCCCAGCACTGTCAGTGCCCAGCCCTGCTACTTAAAAAGCAGTATGCACATCACCACTGTGCTGGTCCCTTCTCCTGTACTCCATTGCTGATAGGAGGATTATCAGAATGCTAGAGAGTCTGGATCTGGTGGCATTCTGATTTCACTCTTTGCATTTAAGAGAAGACTTCATATGATTTATATATATATATATGTATGTATCTATGTATTTTTAATCAGTCATATTTGCATAAGTTTTTTTCTGTGGCCTCCAAACCATGTCTAAATGATCTACCAGTGAGGATGAAGTCATTAGTATTTCCTTTTGTACAGGAAAAGAAATAAAAAGGATAAGCTTACATTTATTGAAAATATTGCTGTTTAAAAGCAAGTGAAATTAAACTTAGTACTCTCGTTTATTGTTTGTTGCACATTTTCATCCTTAATTTTACTGTTCTACTTTTTCAGTTACTACCTTTACATGTGTGATAAAGTGGTTGCCCCAAATGTATCTCTTGCATCACAATACAAGGATGTTACAAAAACAACAGTCAAAGCTTCTGAGGTAATCAAGTCTTCATCTGGAATGTCAGAGAAAAAGCTCAGTAGTGGAAAGCACAAAATACCTGCCTCCTATCCAGAGCTTTCTCTTGAGGAACAGGAGAAAATTGACTTGAAAGCTGGTCTGGAGCAGCATAAGCGTTTAGGTGAGTAGATAAGCTATAAAAAAGAATGACATTGAAGTCTTTTTGATTTTAAAGCATGTAACTTTGGAAGGAACAACACCAAGCTGGTATTTTGTCATCGTGTCCGTATCACTTCGGTACTCCAAAAATTCCTCTGACCTTTTCCTAATCTTCAGTTTATTTTGCATTTTATTACTTTTATTTTCTGTGCTTATTATGCCACGTTCTACTTTTATCTTAGATCCCCTAGTGTCAGCTCATTCTGCAAGAGGTGGAAAATCCGAACGTATTTCTTCCAAAAGCATGAGAGGCTCCAGATGTGTTGAAGTCGGTAATGATGGGAGAACGTTGTCCCCCACTCTCATGAAAGACATCAGTTGTGAGGACGACAAGGGAAGGATCATGGAAGAAGTAATGAAAACCTACATCAAACAGCAAGAAAAACTAAATACTATTTTGCGGAGGAAGCAGCAGCTTCAAATGGTATGATGCCAGTGTGAAAAAACTTCATTTTGCCATCAGAAACTGATGTTAGATTTTTGGTTTCAGAATCATTCCATGGATGATTTCCATTTAGAACACTGGAGCACAAATGTAATTTTCCACCAGCTTGAATCCTGACACTAAATCTCTAATATCCTGTGTGTTTGTTAGATCAGAGGCTACTAATAATTGGTGTTATTTTTTCAGTTTGTAATAACTGTCTTCAAGGAGCTCCTTCTTTCATTTTGTCCAAATGAACACTACTTAAACTTGCAAATGTTTTTCAAAAATAGAAATATTTTGGCAAATATAATTTAAGCCCTTTGGAAATTTTTCACTTTTTAGGATTTTAAAGATGCAGGAATGGAATTGATCTTACCATAGCAAGAATAGCACCTTCCTGTTTCTATTTGTTGAACCTTTTTTTTAGGGGGTTTTATGGAGGAGATTGGTGTTCATTTGTGATTTTGCATCACTTTGTGTTTTCTGCATTAAATTAAGTAAATACTGTCTTTTCTGCTTATATTTGTACACCAGACCTATTATTTTTTTAACATTAAGCTCAGAATCTACAATCCCAGGTAGGGCCCCAGGACTGCTACCTTTAAAGTGTTCTGCTGTTGGAGGTAAAGCTTGTAGGTAATTTAAAAAGAAAAAAAAAAATGAAGACCCTTTTACAAATATCAAAATGTTCACAGAAAGAGAAACCAAACACTTTTATTCTGTTTTCTGATGAGACACTTCTTTTGTCTTCAGAATATGTTTTAGTAAATCAGTGCTACCACATTCTGAGGTTCACTGCTGGACATTGTGAATTTGTTTCTGGAAGCTCCATGTGCTTGAAAGTGTAGATGATGTTATATTAATTGAATACAGCACGTCACCATTGATAAGAAGATGAGTTCCATTATCAGGCCATTGTTACCAGTAGATGAATGTGCTCTTTTTTGCCTCATTGTTTCCAGTTACATATTTAAATCACAAGATTGGTTTTTTTACTTTTCTGGTGTTAGAAGCAAGGTGTATGTGATCCTGATCTGTCTTGGCAGGAAGTGGAAATGTTAAACAACTCTAAAGCTATGAAGGAACTAAGTGAAGAGCAACAGAATTTGCAAAAAGAACTTGAATCTTTGCAAACTGAGCATGCTCAAAGAATGGAAGAGTTTTATTTTGAGCAGAGAGACTTGGAGAAGAAATTGGACCAAATGATGAAGCAGAAGTGTACCTGTGACTCCAGATCAGAGAAAGATAAGGAAGCAGAATATGCAGCACAGGTGAGAAGGGAAAGCCTGTTTCAAACCAAATCATATTCAGTGCATGAGTGAATATGGAGTTATTGCTCATCCACTGTAAGGTTTCATCTTCTCCACCTTAGTCACAATGATAGCATATTTACTTCCCTGTCCCTTGATTGAGACAGACCTAAAATGTAGCTTACGGAAACACTTCACCTGTCAGGTGTTAGGATTCTCTTCATCAGATATTTGTATGATATTAATGATTAAATAATTAATCTTAGACATAAGGATTATAACATTCTTATTCAAAGCAAGTCATGTTTAATATATATAGGCTTGCCTGTGTTATAGAACTAAGCACGATTGCTTTAGCTATAGAAATGTGTTGAAGTACATTGTACTGTGTCACAGTCTTTTAAAACAAACAAAACCTAAAACTTAAGCTTTATGGTCACTTGATTATGGTTTTGTATATTTGCTGTTCATACAGTCTCAAAATAAGAAACAGGCTATACTTGAGAGACAGGTTTTTGTATTTTTAGGGAGTAGGGCAGAGACTAGCATTGTAAATCCTTCTCGTGAATTTAATTTCATGACATCCCACTCCACAGATTCCTGGCCTTTGCTGCCAGAAGTAATCCTCTCTGACTAAGGTCTGATTTACCAAACATCTGGTACAAGCCCTGCTACTGCAAGTAACAACATGTTCTGGTTGATGAAGATGATCATGCGTAGTGTGTTTTATATGGCTATAGTATATACTTTCTTTAGAGGATAAAAACCATGAATTGTTCTCCAAGGAGTCTGGATGATTGTTTCTTTTGATGTTAGAATACTGAATGCATTCCTTCCATGAAAGTTTATCCTGTTATTAGTTGTGCTGCAGAGCTACTTGGAACGTGTCATTGGAATCTTTTTCTCCATTTATAACATCTTACAGTACATTTTGGACCATGGGTTCCAAGCAGTTGTCAGATGTACCTGAGTTAAACAGAGGTCCTGGCAACGGTTATTTTTCCCAAGCTGTATATATTACACTTAAAATAGCCTTAATGTGATGTTTTCTTGAAGCCATTTGCCTTCTCTGAGAACTGTGGGCTGGGAAAAGCCTTCGTTGTACATTGAAGGAAATAAATAATAAGGGATTTGCAATTTTGGTAAACATTTGTTCTTCTGTCGAGGCCTGCCTGAAGATGCACGAGGTGTTCCCCCTTTTTTGACTCCTTTACTGACTTACCAGGTTTAATTGTTGCTTTACCCCATCAATCACAATAGGACAGTATAACCAGTACTTAAGCCTTTCTTTATAGGTGAAAACAAAAGCTCCACCACAGACATGCTGATTTATGCATTGCGTGCTGTGACATGCAGGCAGTGGGCATTGCTGTGCTGCACCAGTCTGCATCTCAGTCAGAAGACTCACATTGATAGGCTCGTGCTGTCTAAAAACTACTTAAATACCTCTCATTATGAAGTGAAGACGAACATCCATTGAATAATATGTTTTTGCAAAATCAGCAGAGTAGTTCCTTTGCCCACACTTTACAGCAGCTGACAAACAGCGGTGTTTTTGTGTGCTTCTGCTTTTCTTTGCTGTCATGAGCTGTCTTCTTTTTCAGTGAGATGTACACGTAGTGATTATTTAGATGGAAGCCCAACATCATAAGTGCAGATGGACTTTTTAGATTCAGTGAGGTCTTTTTGTAAGAAACAACTTCTACCCATGGTAGAGCAGATAAGTGGCTTTTGTCTTCGGGTTGTAACTTGGTGGTAATACATATAAGCAACTTGGCAGTAACTTTGCCACACTTGAAAAATTCATCAGAGTTTTCCAGATCTTATTGTGAAGAAGTTTTGGTGGGAAAGAACTGACCCTAATGAATTCAAAGTAGTTTCTTATTGATTTAATTCTGGGTATGGTATTTATACTGCATATACAAACAGTGGTTGTTAAGCTGTTTTTTGGTTTTATTTTAATGGTTCCATTTTGTAAATGGTTTAGCTAAGGTGACTAATGTTCTGAATCGTTGGGGCTTACCACTGATTTTCTACTGTGGAGTTGCATGGTACAGTCTGAAAGTCCAGCTTTAATAAATGAGATACAAACAACTGAACAGATCACACGTGGGATTCACACTCTTCTCTTGATGTCGTTAATGTTTGACAATCTCATGCAAAAATCTTTGCTTTACTCTCTATATAATCATATTTAAATGTGGAACTTTTTTTTTAATGAGTAAGTTTTCTAAACTGACTGCATCATCTGCAGTGGGACTCTTCAGAAGATAAAAAAGAATGTTTGTCATGCGTTTTAACAATCTTTTTTTAATTTAAATTCTTCCTTGAGATATAGCATCTCAATCAAGCCATCATATGTCATTGCCATTAGACTGCAAAAGCAGATAGGTGTATTTATGGATCAGTAGTTTCAGTTCAATGGGTTACATGGCACCAAATTCCAAGTTAAAACATTTCAGTATTTTCTATTATCCCAGACAAAAATGACAAGACTTAGTGTTCTTACTTCAGTCATTGTGCAGTGATCTGTTTGGTGTCATAAGAGAAATGTTCTTTCCAGCAGAAGCCACTGTCATTTTGTCTGCTCAAGTCTTCCTCATGCTCAGTGAAATTTGAGATTTACTGTACTCTATAGGTTAAAACCTATTTATTCTCTTGTGTTGAAACACAGAACGTTTCACAAAAAAGCTTGGGAAGATTGATGCTTCTATTTGAACATACATAAATCAGTGCACAGGATGTTCTGGTCAAGAACTTCTGAATCTCATTTTCCTAACTGTCATTTATGCTAAAGAATATCAGAAGACTGTATTGATGGTTATGGGTGTTCTAGAAATGGATTAAGCCTTTGAAGTAAAGAAACAATATTTTGCCAGATGAGAGAAATTAACTTGGGGAATGGAAAATTTATTCTGGGATTTGTGAAAGATCTGATACAGGCATCCTCACAGTCTTCTAACAGAGTTTTTACATCGGTGTAGTGTGGCAGTTCACATCACTGGAATTTATGTGTATTTAAAATTGGGCTCTTCTGGCTTTCTTTTTTTATTTTATTGTAGCATCATCTTTATGCCACTTCTCATACTGATGTCATTTGCCAGTGGTGCAGTCTGCAGCTGCGTAATTGTTGATAAGCATAGGAAAATGAGCTGATAAATACTACTGAAATATTTGTACCTGATTCATAGGGTGGTTAGCAGTGGGGTTTTGAATGGTTGTCATATACAAATATGTTTGTTAAAAGTACATCTCTCTCCTCTATCTTACAGCTAGCAGAACTGAGACAGAGACTGGATCACGCAGAGGCAGATAGACAGGAGCTTCAAGATGAACTGAGACAAGAACGAGAGGCAAGGGAGAAGCTAGAGATGATGATCAAAGAATTGAAGCTACAGATCTTGAAATCTTCAAAAAATGGAAGTGGAAAATAGAAATTGGAAAACAAGCATGACTGTGTCCTTCAAACAGGGTGTTTCATTTTTTAATGAATTGTAAGCAGTTTCTGTGCGATAAGAAGTATTCTCTACAGATTTCTATTTGCCATACAAGTGCAGATGAAGATATACATATATATGAATAAATAGATAGGTACACATTTTTAGATTCTCCTAACCAATGGAAATCTGCATTTATTTGTACTGGTGTTTCTCAAACTATGAAAAAATAAGAAACTTCTGATTTAGAGTGACCAGTTTCTGTTTATTTCTAATGCAGCCCTTGAGGACCCTATACCTTTTAACATTATCTGTTAAAACAGATTTGATGATCTTTATTTTATTATCAATTTCACATTTGGTTATAAAAGTATTTAAAAAAAAAAATATCTTAATTTCTTCAAGGCCAAAAATAGTTCAGTTTCCAGTGAGAATTTTGTGTTCCTGAACTGGGGAAAGTGTAAAGGCAGCTGTAGGGTAATTCTCAAAATCACCATGCCAGTAGATGGATGATTATCAGAAGTGATTTACCAGCACCATAATTCTGTTACGTGAAGTCAGGCTGACCTTTTCAGCGTGTGCTATTTGACAACTCAGTAAGTGATTTTAGAGCAGGTGTTTGGTCACCGTGCTGGAAGAACAAAAACATTAGGAGTGTTTTTTTTGTCGTTGTTTTAAATTCAGAAAAAATTACATTCAAAAATGGAATACTCTAAAACTAAAAATTCTCAGTTTTTATTTCCTTCTATATAGCAGTTAAAGGAAACTGTTTACCAGGGCTGGTAGCTACAGGACAGGGGGCAGTGGAAGGTGTCCCTGCCATGGCACAGAGCTTGCAGCTAGATGATCTTTGACTGTCCTTCCAGCACAGACGTGTAGGATTCCTTGGCTTGCCTGGTTTTTGGATACTAATGCTTCCAAGAAAAGTAACATTTATTAAAAGAAAAAAAAATATTACTGGTTTATTTAGTATCTGAAGCCTCTACACTTCAAGCTTCCTGTTAACTTGTGAATTTTTCTTTCTATACATAGAACAGGCCTTAACTGACATTGTGGTAATTGCTTAGAAAAATAGAATTCTAAGATATGGCACTTTGAAAATCAGTTTGATCGTTTCTACATTTGAATGGCATGGTAATGTTGCCATGAATTAAGAAATACAGCATGTTTGTTGAGCTCTGACATTTAGAAATGTGTCAATGTACAGACTTTCCACTTTATGTATATATAGCATTTACTCAAGTACTTCAGAAGTCCGATTCCTGGTGGATTCAGTGCATGACTACAGATTTGGATGGAGAAGTACTCCTGTGCACTTCTTTCCAAAAAGTTTGACATGGCTGACAGATGTTGGCTGATTGTGACTAGAATTATCTTAGTAGTTCTGTTATTTCACTACATTGTTTTAACCTGTGCTTACGTTTGTTGTTTGTTTTTTTAAGGTGCTTAGGTTTATTACTCTCTTAAAGAAGTTGATTAATTCTGGATAAAACCACTAGGAAAATCCACTGGCATCAGTTTTTATTCTGAACTAGTAAAAATGAAAGCTGAGTTCTTTCTTAGCTCTCTTTTACAGAAATAGAAAATGGCACAAATCTTTAAGCTGAGTGAGAAAGGAGGTGATACATGTTGTTTTGTGGAGTCATAGAATGATTCTTTCATAGCAGTGCATAATTTTCTTTACAGACCCCGTGTCATATTTACACTGATATTAGGGCAGATTAGATGAAGAAAAATGAAACTTATTTGGCAATGTTGATCAGAAAAGAGGATCCAGATGATGTTTTTCACCTCTTCTTCAACTCCATTTCCAAATTATTGCTTAAAAACAAAAAAGAAAGAAAAAAAAAAGAAAAAAAGACTGTCTTTACAGCATAGCAGTGGTTTGGAAGGAAGCAAATGTGCCGAGTATAAATTGCAGCAGTGTTGGTAGGAGTGTGATGTGAGGCACTGGAGCTCAAGGCTGGATTAGCTAGATTGACGAGTCAGGAAACACCAGCCTGGGAAACCAGAAAGTTTCATTGGGTGTTACCTGATTATTTCTAGATGCTTTTCTATATAAGGGTTGTGAACCAAACTTGTTCAGTTGTCAGTGTAGATAAGGCCCTCCACACTCACTTCATAGGCTGAAGTAATGGGTTCACTGCAGTGTTTGTGGCTTAGCTGTCAAACGAATGGAATCCTCATGGGATTATGATCTTAGAGTACTGTATATTCAGTTTTTATTCAGGTCCTGTCTATGTTACGTTCCTTGCTCTGAGGTTTCCCTCTTCACCTCTGGTTGACTCCAACCTGTGGCAGCTGCTGCTATTGCTGGGCTTCCCCTGCCCCAGCCTGCACTTCTGTGCCAACCAGCTTCTGCTGAAGGCAGCCATAGTTTGTACTCCTGTTTTCACTTCTGCAGGAACTCCAGCAGCTGGCATACAGTTTTAGCAGCTCCAGCTGCGGGTGAGGCTTCCTAATGCTTGTAAGACATCTGGCTGAAAAAGTGAACTGAACATCTGTTAAGATGACCTTAAAATAGCTTTGTAAATACTCCATTTAGTTAATCTAAAGTTAGAATGCGTTTTAAATTATTATAATCCTCTTAAAATTCTTAAATATTACTTTCAGGTTACTTACATAAATAATTTTCATATGTGTAGACTTAATTTTATACTGGTTTTAAGTAATAATGTAAACATAACTGTGCCATAGATTTTGTGTGTTCAGTCTTTGAAAGATAGTTTTTGAGTGAGTTGTAAATAACACGCTGGTAGCTCTAGAACAAATCTACATTGACCTTTTCTCACTACCTTATGCTTGTTATATTGAGTGGTTTATTTTACAACCTAACATAGAAACTTGCAGTGAACACTTAAGGGCCCTCACTTAAGTACACACTTAATGGTAGAAACCAGTTCTGTCATGAGGTTCTTGCTTTGAGCCATGGCATGCTCGTTTGATGCATTTCTCTTTGTTTTGCCTTCAGCTTTCATTTGCTGATCTTTTAGGCAGAAAGTTGCTTTCTCACATAGTTGTGGCATTAAGTCTTTAGAGGGGGGGAAAAAAAAAAAAGCCTAGAATTGTTCACTGTTTTAACAGTTTCCTGGTTGAGCACCTAGAGTGAAAACGAAGTTACGTGTGTGTGCACCTTTTGGAACTCGGATTCAGGGTGAATGTCTTTGCTCCTGTGTGTTGGAAAAACAAAAAAGGACTTTCACATGCTTTGTGTGCTCTGATGAGCAAGAAGATGTGAGAATTCAGAGAGTACAGCGTGCAGTTTTGGCAGTCTGGCAGTACCCTTGCTCACAGTACCCTGGATGGGAGAGATGTTATCTCAGATCTCCAAACTTGTGTTTTAGTTCTTGTAAAGCATATCGTTTAGCTCGGGAATTCAGATAAACGTGGTTCTGTTTCACATTCTTCCACTAATTTTATTCTATATTTAATATATTAATAGCTTAGGTGTAAAATCATTTGTATATAGTGAAGGCATAATGCAATTAGTGAAGTAGGAAAAGTTGGGTGGGAGCCTGAAGCTTCTGGTGGCCCGCAGAAATGTGGCTCGGTCCATGTTTTAGAAGTCACAACTGTTTGTTCATACATTCTTGGCTTATCTTGGGGGGTTGGATAGCTGTACCACGTTATGGACTATTCAGAAGACTTTCCTAGCATTAGCTGTGGAGCTGGCTGTCATGGTCAGCTTCCTCGAGTTCACTTGTTTGTAGAGCTTATATTTTAACTGTCAGCAAAGAGAACGACTTTGTATTTTTTCTGCACTTAATTCATGTAATTAACCCACACAACAGTTTTCTATACTACGGTGAAGTTGACAAAAGAATAATCCCACCTATCTGTTAATCTGTGCTTGAAATCTTCCAGTAGTTTTATTTTCAGCTGTCAACAGCAAGCTGCAATAAGCTGCAAGGTTCAGTTTTGCTCATTGATGTGAGAAGCGTTCATCGATGTTTTCATTGTAGAAAGCTTATAGGATGTTCAGTTTGTTGCATATCTGTTTGGAAAAAAAGATCCATATTTTTAGCTTTTGTGAACATCAGTGGCTGCGGCTCACAAATGGCACGAGAGCTCGTTGTGTGTCTCCATTATTTAGCAAACCAGGTTTGTTCAGCGTTAGCGGTTCTGTTGGGAAATGCTTGAAAAATGAGTGAAGCACTTCGTCAAGCACAGCAAACAAACGGTATGAAATTTGGTTATTGGAAAACTGCCCCCCTAACAACATCAATTGACTCTTTGGTTTTCTTCCAATATAGATACCTCACTTAAAGGAAAGCACAGTTACACTGTATTTAAAATAGATCTAGGACATGCAAAGTTGGTCTGAAAGATTTTGTCGCAGTTACGCTGCTTCCTGTGATTGATAAAAATCTCTTTTTGTTTTCATGCTCACTCTCAAAAAGCATTAATTGGTGTTGACATGCCAGTATGACTGTGTTGGATTACAGAAGGTGGCTGCAAAGCGACACAGCGCTCTGCTGGGCTGGAGGCAGCAGCTGGTGACTATTCCAAACCACAGCAAGCCTGTGAGATCCATCGCTGCATTCAACAGCTCGTACTACTTTGCCAATGATGTACAGTCTTATTGTTAGCGTTGCTGTGGTTGCATTACATGACACACAAAACTGTCCTCTACCTCACGTGAGATTAACAGATATTTTATATGGTTTTAGTAAACAAAATGCATCTATCTGGTCACTTAGTTTACAAATTTTGAATTATATTTATTGAAACATGACATACTGTGCTCTTAGCTTATACCTCAATTGTATTTTGTGCTGTTATCCATTTTCATGCCTTGTAAATACGTGTACAGATTGTGGATTCAAAAATAAAAACTGTACCATCAGAACACTCGGGTCTTTGTGGTATCATGCACTGAAATGCCAGCTACACATCAGGAAGGTGTTAAACTGTGGAGCATCTCTAGGGAGGATGGTCTTCCTTGCTTTGATTACAATCAATTAAGACACTGATGACAGTGAAACTTGCACCGTTCCCACTGCCTGCAGGAGGTCCCCGGTTTCCTAATGGATATTTTTAGCAGATCTACCAAGTCAGTGCCCTCTCACAGTGGCTGCTTTCCCTGAGGCTCCGTGCAGGTAGTGCTGGCAGTGAGATACCCGTGCATTGCAGCTCAGATGTACATAAATAGAACCACTTGTGTAGCTGGCATGTTCTCTGGTGCACAGCTTTTGTTGCTGCTTAACTCCTCTAGCAACGTTGGAGTTGTTCACACCTCTCCTTAATAGATGGGTAATGAAGAGATAACACGCATTGCCACGCCAAGCGCTGAGATCTATAAACATTTAACATTAGAAGTGAGTGTTATACTTCATGTGATGGAAAATATTTTTATTTACTGATGGTGAAAACTACCCTACAGCGGCTCCATTCTGTGCAGATGGTGGTTGCATTGCTTAACACGGCTACCTGCCGTCAGGTGGGGAGAGGAAGGACAGCTACAGCCGTGTGTGTGCCTACAGGCTGCGGGGTGACCTCACTGCAGCCTTTCAGTACTCAAAGGAAGCCTACAAACAGGAAGGGAATCAGCTCTTTGAAAGGGTAGATAACAGCAGGACAAGGGGAAATGGTTTTAAGTTGAGGGAAGATTTAGGTTGGATGTCGGAGAAGTTCTTTACTGTGAGAGTAGTGAGGTGCTGGAACAGCTGCCCAGAGAGGCTGTGGATGCCCCGTGTTCAAGGTGTTCAAGGCCAGGTTGGATGGGGCCCTGGGCAGCCTGGGCTGGTGTGAAATGTGGAGGTTGGTGGCCCAGCACGTGGCAGGGGGGTTGGAGATGCATGATCCTTGAGGTCCCTTCTAACCCTGGCCGTTCTGTGACCTGTGATTCTGTATGCGGAGGAAAGGATTAACCCCACCTGCATCTGCCGCCTCCATCGACCCGGTGCTGACGGTGAGGGGCGGTGGAGACGCGGCTGACCGCTGCAGTTTCCTCCGCTGCCCACCAGCGGTCCTCCGCGCCGCAGCGCCCGGCCGCGGCATCGCACCGCCAGTTAACTCGGCTCCCCGTCCCGCCAGCTCCCTTCCCTATTTACCCACGAGGCGACGGCAGCGGGAGCGCTGCAGCTCAGGAGCGCCGCCGTGCTGCACCCCAGTGCCGCGTCTCGCTGCCCGCCCCGCTCCGGCCGCTCCCCGCACGCCCCCAGCCCGGCCCGGTGACGGACGCGCAAGTCGGGGCTCCCCTTCGCTCCTCCCATGGAGCGGGGCCGGAGGCAGCGCTGACCCCTCCCAGGGGCAGAAGCCGCTCGGTGCCGCCCAGTGCAGCTCGGGGACCTTTCCCGGCATCTCCAGTCCCGGCTGCTCGCAGCTCCCCGCAGCTCCGGCTCGCAGCCCGTTCCGCGCCGCCTCTCCCAGCCCTGCTCTCCCCGTCCCGGCCCGCGAGCCCGGCGCGTCGACATGGTGGCCACCTGCCTGCACCTGGCCGGGTTTGTCTGCAGCTTCATCGGGTGGATCGGGGTGGTGGTGGCCACCGCCACCAACGACTGGGTGGTGACCTGCGGCTACACCATCACCACCTGCCGCAAAATGGACGAGCTGGGCTCCAAGGGGCTGTGGGCGGACTGCGTCATGGCGACGGGCCTCTACCACTGCAAGCCGCTGGTGGACATCCTCATCCTGCCAGGTATGCTCCCCGGCTCTCCTCCCAGCCCGCTGAGCGAGGCTGTGCCCCACTGCGGGGTGGTCGGTGGTGGAGCTCCGTCCGCTTCATCACCATTAAGGGGGTCCCTTAAACATGCCAGAGAATTGAGCGATGTCTCCTAACACGGTGCTCACTTACACCTGGTTCTAACTGTCCTTAGGTATGACGTTTATGTCTGGCTATTAAGGTCCACTTCTACCAACCGCTGCTCTTAACAAACTGTTAACAAGTCGTTCCTTTCCCATCTCATCCCCAGGCAGCGTTGCAGAACCTACTCTTGTATCTCAGTGTTCTTTGTATTTCAGTTCCGTCTCGTGATGATGATGAACCACTAAAATTTGAAGGATCTGTTCCTTAAAATGATGCTGAGAAGGATGAATCTCGTGGCATCCATTATTAATACTGCTGTAGTTTTTAATCCTTTGGAAGTTCGTCATCAGTCTTGGCAGTCCTGTGCTTCCCCTGTGCTCTAATGCATGGCAGGGCTCTTAGCATAGTCACGTCTGTTCCCTGCGTGATCTGTCCTGTTACTTTCTAATCATAAAGCATTTACTTTATTGCAAAGTAAAATCTAAGCCGAGTGTTTCTCCAGGATGAATGCATCTTTGGGGCTAACTGAACCTACCAAGGTCTGTGTGTCATCTTGTCCCTGTAGTTTAGCTGGTTCTTTTAGCTAATTATTTCACCCATTTCAATTGTTGTTAACTCCATGGTGTTTCTCTGCTCTGTTTCACCTCATCAAGGTGCCCCTTCCAAAGCCAAATGGTTAGAAATACACGTCCCTTGTTTTTCATTTTTCCCTTCTTTATCTGTTTTCAATTACTGTGGAAATAACTTCACAGTGGTTAGAGAGGTCACTCCTGAAATCCCCCCTGATACAATGCCCAGCCCCTGTTACACAGAGGTTGGCAGTGCTGGACCTCTCAGACCAGCTTCTGTTCTCCCTTACTTACAGTTCAGTAGACTTGCCTTCCTTATAGCTACTGTTGTTCACTTTGATCCAGCACAGCAGGCAGGAAAATGGCTTATCTTGACAAAATATGGAATTAAACTTAATAAATGAGAAAATAAAGTCTTCCCCCAACTGAAAGCAGTGTTTCTCTGCAGCAGAAGCAGATCACAAAGTGAGATCCTTCTGCCCATACCCACTCTGAGCCCCTTTGCTGCCCATGGGATCCCTCCTGGTTCCCTCCCTCCAGCTGAACCGTGTTCGGAGTCCTCCACCGAGCCAAGTCCTTAAACTGGAACATTTGTGTCTTGTTTGTGTGCTTGTTTGCTTGGGACCGGTTACACAGAGGCCATGCTGGGCATTGCCATCTCCTTTGTTTAGGTCTCACTTTCTGCCCTTAACTCCTTAGGGAACTAGGAGCTAAGGAGCACTGCCACATGCAGCCCCACGACCCCGCTGCTCCTGGCTGCTCCAGGGCAGGAAAGCCGTGCTGGTAATGAAAGCTTGGGGCACTCCGTGGTGTCCATAAAGGCCTGAGGAATCATGTGGCTGCTCCAAGGCTGAAAATCTGTAGGAAAACCCCTCCCCAGCTGTTTCACTCCCTGCCATCTTTCCCAGCTTCATGATTTCCCAACATCTTGCTGGGAAGACATTCTCACTCCGTGGAAACTGTTGGCCTCGCGCACCTCTGAGCTGCACACTGACGTCTCACGCCTGCTGGGTATTTGCTTAGGGTTATGTAGAACCATAGAATCCATCTCTTGCACTCTGCGTTGGGAGCTCATCGGGCAGCAACGTTTGCCCGAAGTTCTCTTCCTTTTGAGCCAAATAACCCAGATCCTCTTTCTCACCCCACCCGCAGGCTACGTCCAGGCGTGCCGAGCGCTGATGATCGCCGCCTCCGTGCTGGGCCTCCCCGCCATCTTCCTGCTCATCACTGTGCTGCCCTGCATCCGGATGGGCCACGAGCCCGGCGCCGCCAAGTACCGCCGCTCCCAGCTGGGGGGGATCCTCATCATCCTCCTGGGTAAGGCACGGCCCGGCCTCCTCCGCTTTGGGATGGTGTGGTGTGTGAGCAGGGAGGGGCAGATCTATGGGCAGCGGGTGCTGCTCCTTTGGGACATCAGCATGGAGTTGGCCGGGCGCCGGGGGGGGGGCGCAGCCCCGTGCCTCCTGCCAGCCTTGTCCTTGGGATTTCTTCCCATCCGCGAAGCCCGCGGAGGAGATTGTTTTGTGCAGCTCAGCCTGTGAAGCTCATTGTCCCCAACACGGCACCTGCGTGTTCTTGAGGCCTCGTCACCCCAGCCACAGGCTGCGGGGCCTTGTTTTCACCCGTCTGCTTGGCAGAGGAGGGGGCAGAGGGAGAGTGGCTTCTTTGTGCGGCTCTGCCGCTCGCCGGCAGCCAGCGCTGACATCACCCTGCTCCTCTTTCTTCTGCTTCTCCTGAGGTTTTTTTCAAGTGGGCGCCACACGGAGCTGCATGTCTCCAGCTGGGGAGGCATGGGGACAAGGAGGGATGGAGCCTTGTGCAGCAGATCCCTCCGTACTCTGATGGGAGGTCCCCACCACCCAGCTTTGGCACATCAACTGTTCTACCAATCTTTATAACGTTAAAAAGAAGTGAGATGGGGGTTGGTCTCTTCTCCCAGTGATAGGACCAGGGGGGGTTCAGGGTATTAGGAAACATTTCTTCTGATAAAGAGCAGTGATGCAGTGGCACAGCTGCCCAGGGAGTGGTGGGGTCACCGTCCCTGGAGATGTTCAGAGCTGTGGGGATGTGGCACTGAGGGACGTGGGCATGGGGAATGTGTTGGGGTCGGACTTGGTGGTCCTAGATATCTATTCCAGCATTTATGATTCTATATCTTCCTCCTACAAGCTCCAATGAGGAACGGTTAGGATGAATCAGAATGTCTGAAATTTAAAAGTGAGACCAAGGAGGTCTTCCAATAGCAGTGGGTTTTAAGGGCCCGTTGCTGCAGCTGGAAATGCTAACATCAGCTGTACAGGCCTGCTTAGGACATCCCATCAGTTGCCGTCACACTGGAGAGCTCTGGCAATGTGTCCCTTATCCCTGTCCTGAAACCTCCAGTCACAGACCTGGGCTTGGCAGTGAACGAGAGGTTTTTTTCATGCTGTCAGTGACACTGTAGCAACAGGAGAGTCTGTTCTGCTGTTATCTCTGGTCTGGGAGCTGGGGGAGTCCCACCAGAGCTGCGCTTCATGACAAACAAATGGAAAATGTTAGTTTTGGGCAAGAAGAGCTGTGCTGTAGATCAGCCCCATTTTGCATGGCTGAGAGCACTGCCCCTAAATCTGCTTTGCAGCAGGGCAGCAGGATTGCAGGAGCAGCAGACATGGCAGTGACTCCAATGAGTCACACTGCGTGAGAACAAGTGAAAGCCCAGAGCTCTGTGGGGTGAAGAAGAGCTTTGGGTCTGGTCCTGCCTTGGTGTAAGGCCAGTGAGAAGAGATAACAAGGATGAAGGCTAGCAGGTGCACTTTGGGTCAGGTTTGGCCTTCTTGCTGGTCGTTACCACTGTGTGATCTGGGCTGCCCCAAAGCTGGGCAATGATGAAGGATCAACATGTTCCTTTGGCTCCTAAACTTTTCATAAAAAATAACCAACCCACACTTTTTTGTACAAAATCCAGTTGTTTTTCCAGACTGGTTAACAAATCAGTCCCCTTGGAAAGAGAGCAATGCACGGAGCTTGGGACTTTGACATTGTTTAAGTTGATTAATGATCTGTTGTTGGAAAAATGAAGTGTCACCATTCCAGAGCATTCAATAAGTATGAATATCAGGCTTGGAAGACATAGTGCTGGCTTAAAAGTCTTTCTGTCATGGGCCGTTCTTATTTATTCTCTGGCCACTGATCTCTCACTCATGGCTTTCTGTGTTTTCCCCCCAACATCAAGGCTTGAGTGCAGCTCCCAGAGGTCTGGTTAGAAGAAAACAAATCCAGACCCACGAACTCTGCAGAGTGGGGATGCAATCACTGGAGTTGGCTCCATGGCAAATGTTGCGTGTTGCTCAGGGAGGGGATGGCATTTAGGACAGAAATTGTTAAAAAGGAAAGAAGGGGTTGAAACACAGCATGGAATCACGAAAAAAAAAAAACGGAGAGAGAGAAAAAAAAAATAGTTGAAAACTTGCCAGGAAAACAATGGGCTCAGATATTCCATTGATTTTCCTGTCGCTGATAATAGCAGGCTGCAGAGTGCAACATGTGTGCACACCCTCCTATCCTGTATGCTGATGTATTTATGTCTTTGCTTGGTCCTATCTGACCAAGGGAATTGATTTATGGCTGTGCACAGCTGTCGGTGGTGATTTGCTCTGAGCTGCTATGAAAACATCTCCAATGCAATGTTGATGGAAAAACCCATCCCATCCCATATTGTTGGTGCTAATTTGGGGGACCCCGTGCTGGTACCCAAGTGATCTTTTCCCCATGGGGAAGTGAGGGACCTGAGGATGATAAACAGATGGAAAATATGTTAGTTACTGGGATTTACCACTGCTAGCTGACCATGCTAGCTATTGTCTTCTAAATAGATGGTATTAATAGATTCCTCTGGATATTGTTTTCTCTTAGAGGACTCTATCCCAAGATAAACAAGGTTCAAAAGTGCTTTTTTCTTTTTTTTTTTTCTTCCCTTCTGGGAAGCTGTGGGCACTAAGAGACCTCTGTAAGTCACACTGCTCCCCTTAGAAGAAATGACGGAATCACTGAACAACTTCTGTTTGGAAAAGACCTTCAAGCTCATCAAGTCCAACCAGTAAATCAATGCCACCCAGTCTATGGCTTGGACTGCAGTATTTGTGTGTTCCCCGTGGGCAGGTGGCTCAGGGCAGGAGGGAAAGCAGAATCTAAACACATAACCTGCATAAAACAACTTTGTGCTTTGGGAGAGCAGGTTATGAACATTATCAGTGGATGGTTGAACTGGGTGATCTTTGAGGTCTTTTCCAACCTTAATGATTCTACATGCACTTCCAGTGCTGGATTAAACCATGCCTATAATGGCAAATGTTAAGAGATTCAGCTCCATGGATCAGGTGCACGGTCAGAAGGAACTGGGACCCACTGGGATGTGGGACACAGGGACAGGTGGTGCCAATGGGGACAATGTGGTAGAAGTCTATAGGATTCGAGCTGCTCCTCTTGCTTTCTGCCAAACTGCACTGCACTGACTGCAGCAACCATCCCGGTGCATTCCTCCTCCCCACTGGGATCACCAGCAGCTGCAATGAGCTCTGCTCAGCCCTTGGCCAGCCTTCCAGCTTTCGAGCATTGTCAGCACGATGATAAGGTGGTGCTACATGTGGCTGCCCCACTGCACAAGAGATGCCATTGTCCCGGTGTCCCCGAGAGCTCCCCTTGGCCCAACGCGAGCGTTGTCCTCTCCGCTGCGCCATGGGGGAGGGTCTGAGGGGATAAGGCTCTTATAGTCTATGGACACCAATGTATATATATATTTACTGTGGACAGAAGAAGAAAAGATGATTGTATCCTTTCGGACAACAAAGCAGCTTTATGCTGGAGCCCATTAGAATGCTTTGCAGATTCCCATCCGACCCCTCTCTGGAGGCTCACGAGCTGCAGCAGGGGCAGCCCTCCTTCCCCACAACCCCCTCCCAGAGCCGCAGGGCCCTTGCTTTGAGGAGGCCCCAGGTCATTGCTGGCTTCATTAGCATCTTCCGAATGTTCTCTTTTCCATAAGAAAATATTTTTTCTCATAATAACTGCAGCGACTGGGGATGGGCTTTCTGCTGTACCGGCCAGCAGCAATGGTTTGTTTTCCACTTTAACCAAACAGTTTTATTTTTTCTCTGCCCCTTTTTCTCCCCTTCTTGCAACCTTAACTTTTTGACACCGCCTCCAGATCTCTCTTAGCGCGGTTGGCGGAGAGCTGTAGAGCTGCCACAGCCCTGTTATTGTTTTGCTCCGATTCTCTGATAGCCACAAGGATGGAGTCCTGCACAGCTTGTCCCTGAGGCAAGTCAATATTGACGGATTCATTCCTCTCAGATGTGCGGGCCATAAAGAAGTATTGTTTTAGGACCTGCTCCTGTAGGTGGTTAACGCCATCGGCTCTGCTGCATGCAGGGTGAGGGCAGGGAGCGCCAGGAGAATGCAGGGATGGATTTTTGTATGGACATCTTCTTCACCTTCGTGTTGCTACCTACCTGCTTTTGTGGAAAAGCCTGGAGCAAAACTAGAAGCCCTCGGTAGTCGTGCTCTGTGGGCTCCAGGCTGAGCACTGTGGTCCCTCTGACTTGTTTCACTAGGTCTTTGAGAAGCCTCACTGCATTGCCCCACCACTTGACCCTGTTTTCCATAGGGAAGTAGAATCCACTTTCCAACTGACTTTGAGTTGAAGTTTTGCTGCCTCTACAATGCGTGAGGCTTCTGTAATCTTCTGCTCTCAGCTCCTCCTGAACACACAGCTCTCCAGAGCACCAATTTCAGAGCTGACTTTCATTCTTCAGCCTTCGTTGTCAGCTCAGTTGTGTCAAGAAGCGATTGCTCTGCTCCTTATTGCTGGTCCTTCCCCACCTCTCCCAGCTCAGGCAACCCCACCCCTCTCCTGCTCTGGCATCAGGAGTCCTGAAGCCAATGCTGTTTATTCCCCATTGGATCAGCGTGAGGATGGGCTCCTCCCCATCCTCCAGAGGAAATACAAGCTGCGGGAGACTAACTCCAAGCTTCACGCATCTAATAGTGCGTGGGTCTGTCTTGGGGGGCCAAGAAAGGATGGATGCTCCATCCCCTGGACTTGCTGGGTATCTCGCTGGTCCCACACTCGGTGTCGGGTTGAAGGTTGGGCTGGATGATTATAGAGATCTTTTCCAACCCTACTGATTCTACATTTCTGTGATTGGCTTTTCCCCTCCTGTCTCCCCAGCCATGTGCGGCGTGGTGGCCACCATCTGGTTCCCCGTCTGCGCCCACCGTGAAACCACCATCATGAGCTTTGGATACTCCCTGTACACGGGCTGGATCGGCTCTGCCCTCTGCCTCTTTGGTGGCTGCGTCATCGTCTGCTGCTCGGGGGATGCTCAGACCTTCGGCGAGAACCGCTTCTACTACGCCTCGGGCTCCAGCTCCCCCACCCACGCTAAGAGTGCCCACGTCTGAGCTCCCACACCCACTGGGTCTGCACACCATGGGTTCACTTCTCCCGGCGCTCGCTGCTGTTGTGCTCCCCGGGAAGGTTTTAAAACAGCAGCCCAAGCGCCCGGCAGTCCCAAGTGTTGTTGTCCCCCCTGTTGTCCCCTTCTCTAGAAAACAAGCCCCAGCCCCCACTCCCACCTGGTTCACCCTCCCCATCCTCCTGCCCCAGGGGTGGTGTGTGGGCCTCAGGTTGGTTTGGGGTTTTTTATTTTACTGCTCACCAAGAGAGCTTAAAGCAGCAAAGCAGACGTGAGAGGCACTTCCCCGCTGCTGAGGACTCCAGCACGTCCCCATTTGCTTTCCTGTCCCCAAGGTCACCGCTCTGGCACAGTCTGGGAGCAAGGGCTGAGGGAGGTGCACCCTCCCAACAGGCAAATGTTTCTCTTTTGGAACAGTAGGGGATTTTTTCTGCCTTTCTCTGTAAATACTTTTGTATGGATTTGATCGTTTTAGTAACACTGTTTCTCCCACTCCCCCGGTCATCAGTATGAAGGAAACAGAACCCAAAGGTCCTAACGCTGCGATACGTAACAGTGTCTGTATATAGTTCCAATGACTCTGGGGGCTCTAATCCCCACACTCTTTTTTAGTGTTTTTTTTTTTTTTTTTTTTCTTTGTACAGATCAGTTACTAAAAATGTGTTTTTACATTTACATTTGCTTTCACCCCATGAATCTGTGTTCACCGTTCTGTAGCACGTTTTTAACACACAGTTACACTGTCACAATGCAATTCTGGTGAATACTGATGATGCCTTTGTACTTCAACTGAAATACTGTACAATAAATAACAGAGTATCTGCGGCTCTGCCTTCTCCTTTTCCTTCCTTCCTGTGTGCTTCCGTAGCTAGCCTTTCCATGACGCAGTTTCCTAATGATTTTGAAGGGTTTTTTTGAAAGCAATTTGGGATGAGAAGTTCTGCTCTGCTGCAGACTCAAGGCTGCCTTTGCTTTTGGGAGAGTATTCAAAAGCTGCTAACCTTCCTGCTTGGAACCAACTGTAGCCTTGGATGTTCCCTGTGTCTCATCCCAGGGTTGGGGTTTGTGGCATTTTTCCCATCCAGGAAACTTGGAAACCCATTGGAAAAGTCCAAAATCTTGTTGCTCTGAACTCAAGTTTAAGTCTGATCCAGGGTCATTACTCGATTTGATTAAAGCCATGTAAGATCAAGATCCAGCTTTGTCCTCACTGGAGGCTGTAGCAATTACTGTGATACCAAGCCCCATCAGTTCCCAGGGCTGTTAACTCACTCCATGTAATTGGTGCACACTTCAGCCATGGGGCTGAAGCAAGGGGAGAACCTGGAGCTGCGTGCACAAGCAGAGACCCAGTAGGAGGTTTGGGGTGGTGGGATCTGCAAACAGGGCAGTAGGACAAGCCTTGGTCTGCTGGCATGTGCTCATTCATCCATTGGGATCTCCCCATCCATGGCCTGCTGTGGTTGGAGAGCCCAACTAGGGCCACGGATGCTGCAGTCCCACACTTTGCCATGGGTAGATGTGAGGGTGAAATGGGAGCATTTAAAGGGAGAGAATGAGGATGGCTGCACTCCCCCTGGGATAGCATGGAGATAAGGACCCAGGCCCTGGCACTCGCCCTGCTGCTCCAGCACACAGCATCTGCCCCGAGCTCCAGCAGCCCCAGAGGCGCAGCCCAGGGCTCTGCAGGACACTTGTGCCCATGACATCACAGCAGGGCACAGTTGGTCGTTGTGTGCTCGGCAGGGACGCGTCAGTGCTGCCATTGATGTGTGGGTGCCAGCTTGTGCGGGCAGCGGGGATTGTGGATTGTGCACACATCAGCCCTGGGACTGGTGGCAGAGAGGGAGCCCTCAGGGCAGGAATGCACTGCAACGCTGTGGGAAGCTCAGCAAATCCTAATAGGAGGGAGATGTGGGATCCTATGGAGAATAAAGTCTTGCCAGGCATCACTTGGGTTTTTTTCCCATTTATTTTAGGCTGCAAATCGACATTTTCAGGCAGACAGGGCTGGCGCTCAGCTCCTTGCCCTCCCTGCACCCTACCCAGGATCACAGGAACCAACAGCCCCAGAATATCCCATAGAGCTCTCTGGAACCCTGGTTGCTGGGCAGGGCTGGCCATGGCACTACCAGCACTCAATAGTTTTTGATGCTCATCGCATCAAAGCCTCAAAATTGAACCAAACATAGTTGGAACACAACGAGTTGCTCCACACCACACCTGGCATCAGCGATGGAGTGCTGGCTGCTCTGTTGTCACCCCAACTTGGGGATGGTCCTCCACATCCCAACAGAGCCCTCCCTGGGCCAGCACCCACCGCCTCTCATTGCAGTGTCCCCCCACCATTGTGCCACCAGGAGCTTCCCCATGTCCGTGGTGAAGGAGCTCGGTGAGCTTTGCTCTGCTATAGTCAACCTGTGGCCATTGGCTCTCATTTTTTCTTTCTTTCTTTTATTTATTGTGCAAACAGATAACCTTTTTTTTTTTTTTTTTTTTCACAACAGTGCAAGTAAATACCAAAGTCAGCCCATTGAACTGCATCTTCTACAAAGGAAATTTTGAAGCACTTAAGGCAAGATTTTTTTCATCTCTGACTTCTATTTCACATT